GCCTTAGCCGGTTGAGCTATAGGCACTGAGCCAAGAGTATGACTATTATAGAATGCTTTGACTCTAAGGTTCTGTATAGAGTCATCAATTAACTTATTATTTTTTTTCCCAAAGTCTCAAAAAATAGACAAGCACACCCTGTTTTTGATGTTCAGGACAAAGCACTCAGCCAGTACAGGCTGAGAACGCCATTTGCTGATTTCATTAGAAGGAAGAAATAGCTCCTCTTTCCTCTAAAAGTTTTAGCAGAAACCTAAATATCTGCCTCAGACAATTTAGAGCTCTTTTTTGTAGTATAACTGCTTCTTCTTCATATTCATTGAGCAAAAACTGAGCCAGGCCTTGTGCTGAGTTCTCTAGGGGATATGACATGGTGGCTGCCCTTCAGGGGCAGATTATCTCGTTAGGGAGACAGATACAACTAACCACCACCCCATCTGCACTCACCGGAACAAAGACTCCCCCAGGGAGGACAGGTACTCCAGGAAGATTTCTTCTGTGACTTCTGTGCTCCCCACATCGACCACAGAGTCTGGGGGCCCAAGCAATGTCCCTCCCTGAAAGAGCCAACCCAAAGAAAGTCATTAAATCACCATCTCCAATGATTTTTTTTTTTAGGTGGCTTCCCAGAAGACCACAAACTCTCTATCCCAACAACTTCATTTTTAACTTTCAGAGCATTCTGTGCAGATGAAGAGTGTTATTCCCTTTTGTATCAAGGCTTCAGTGGCTTAAAACTTCTTGGTGACTTTCCAGTGCCATATGCTGGTAGCATGGCTAAGAAGTCGGGCTTCTTGCTCTGGTCGGGCTCGGGGAAGCTGATTCTCTTGAAGGTCTAACTCTGTATGCTGTCCACTCATTCAGTTGATTAAAAAAATAGAACATCTGAAGTCTCTTTTTGTCCCCACCATGCCTGATCATGAGGACAGAATAGGAAAACGAGACATGGGCCAGGTGCAGTAGATCACACCTGTAATCCTAGCAGTACTCTGGGAGGCTGAGACGGGTGGATTGCTTGAGCTCATGACCAGCCTGAGCAAGAGCCAGACCCCATCTCTAGAAATAGCCAGGCGTCATGGTGGGTGCCTGTAGTCCGAGTTATTCATGAGGCTGAGATAAAAGAACCACTTGAGCCTAAGAGTTTGAGTTTGCTATAAGTTGTGACGCCACAACACTCTACCAAGGGTGACAAAATGAGACTGTGTTTCAAAAAAGAAAGGAAAACTAGAAATGGCTCACACTTAACAGGCCATCTCTCCATGCCTATATTCACAAAGTATGTAGCCAGTTTTTCTTGCAACATACTTGTTATCCTTCATAACAACAAGAGAATATAAAGTACCATGAGAGATCTGGCAGAGCGGCAGTTATTTCTATAATTCAAATCTTCTTCTTTTTCTTTTTTAATTAAAGACAGGGCCTACTTCTTGCTCAGGTTGGTCTGAAACTCCTGAGCTTAATGGATCCACTGCCTCAGCCTCCCAAAGTGCTAGGATTACAGGCATGAGCCACCGTGTCCAGCTCCACAATTCAATTTTTTTTTTTTTTTTTGCAGTTTTTGGCTGGGGCTGGGTTTGAACCCGCCACCTCCAGCACATGGGGCTGGCGCCTTACTCCTTTGAGCCACAGGCATCGCCCTCACAATTCAATTCTTTTTAAGTCTGTGAGCCTAATCCAGTGATGGCGATAGGGAGAGGGAGTTAATTAACCCAGCTGAAGGGGCTACAGAGCACCTTCCGCCCCAGGGTTAACAGATTGCCACTGGACAGATAAAGAGAGACTGAGGCTAAGTGTGGAAACCAGTCAGTGGGGAAACAACAGAGGATAGATCCAGGGAGGGAGAACATTCCAGAGCAGAGCTCCCTGGAAAAATCATTAATTCATGCTACTGAGCACTTACTATGTGCCTGACATTGTTCTTGGTGCTGGGGAAAGTATGGTGAAAAAGATAATTATAGTAGTCAGAGAGGAACTTTCTGGGAGTTGTGAGAGACTGAAAGGTCACCATTCGACACCCTGTGATTCACTCACACAATAACCATGTATTCGGAACTCACTGTGTGCCGTGCCTTATGCTAGGCACTGGGGGTACGAAGAGGACAAAACAGATGAGATTCTTTCCCTCAGGGAGCATACAGTCTAGCAGGGAAGGCAGACAAAAAAATCCCATAAACCCATGTATAATTACTAGGTGCAAAAACTGTGGTGCTGGGAAAATACAGAATTCCAACAGTATGAGACTCAGGGAAGATTTGCCTGAGAAAGTGACACTGAGCTCAAATCTGAAGGATGGAAAGACATAGCCAGGTGAAGGATCAGGATGGTGTACTGATGTCAGAGTGCAGGTTTGGGTGTCCAAAGTTTATTCAAGGACTGAGAAGAAAGCAGGTGTGGTGAGGGCAGGGCCTCAAAGAGGCTGGCCAGAGAAGGAGACACAGACCTGATCAGACAAGGTCTGAAGGCCATGCTGAGCTTTCTGGCTTTTTTTTTTTTTAGAGACAGAGTCTCATTTTGTTACCCAGTAGAGTGGTGTGGAGTCACAGCTCATAGCAACCTCCAGTTCTTGGGCTTAGGTGATTCCCTTGCCTCAGCCTCCTGAGTAGCTGGGACTACAGGCGCACGCCACAACGCCCATTTTTGTTGTTGTTGTTGTTGTTGTTGCAGTTTGGCTGGGGCCAGGTTTAAACCTGCCACCTTCGGTATATGGGGCTGGCATCCTACTTACTGGGTCACAGGTTCCGCCCAAGTTTTCTGGCTTTTATTCCAAAAACAATGGGAAGAATTCTGGCTGAAGCAAGGGTGCCTGTGGCTGAAAGGAGTAGGGTGCCAGCCCCATATGTTGGAGGTGATGGGTTCAAACCCAGCCCTGGCCAAAAAAAAAAAAAAAAAAAAGCAGCAAAATTTAAAAGAAAAGAAAAGAAAAGAAAAGATTGCTTTGCCTCCTGTGTGAAGAAATGACTGAAGAGGAAGTGCAGAGACCAGCAGGCTATTGCTATGGTGCAGGCTATGTGTGAGGGTGGCCTGGATTATGGTGAAAGCCTGGAAACATGGGAAGAAAGGAAGGAAGGGAAACAGACTGATTTAAGATACATTTACAAGGTAGAAATGACTGGGTGTAATGAAGATATTAAAGGAGATGGGGTGGGCTTGGCGCCCATAGCACAGTGGTTACAGTGCTGGCCACATGCACCAAGGCTGGCAGGTTTGAACCTGGTCCAGGCCAGCTAAACAACAACTGCAACAAAAAAGATAGCTGTGCGTTGTAGTAGGTGCCTGTGGTCCCAGCTGTTTGGGAGGCTGGGACAGGAGAATTGCTTAAGCCCAAGAGTTGGAGGTTGCTGTGGGCTGTGATACCATGGCAGTCTACTGAGGGTGACACGGTGCATGGTGAGACTCTGTCTCAAAAAATAAAGAAAGAAAGAAAGAAAGAAAGAAAGGAAGGAAGGAGATGGGGTGAAGGCCATGAGAGAGGAAGAAATCCAGAATGACTTCTATTTATGAGAGTCAGAATGAACAGTCGCTTGGTCTCTGTTTGAGCACCTACTATGATAACCCTTAGATAGCTCTGACAAAAAGGTTTTGGAAAAGGCATACGCTTTAGTGTTGGAGTGCTGAGTTCTAGTCCTGGCGCCAACTGATTGGCCATTTAACTTTGGGCAACACCCTTTGCCTCTCATTGTTCAGCTTAACATCAGCTGAGTTCCTACTATGGGCCACGCACTCGCTGAGTGATGGGGACAGGAGAGCAAGACAGTCTTCGTTCGCAAGGAGCTTCACACTGTTCTCTGTGGAGATTCAGAAATAGCTCATTTCTCTTTTTTTTTT